ATATATATATATATATATATATATATATATATATATATACACAGAGGAAATATGTATGTACAGAGGCATTCACGTAAATTATCACAGGGTATTCAGGTGAACACAAACAGCACCAGCAGCTTGGCAGTTCAGGATGGTCTGCTAGTGGGAATGTGTGTATATATAGAGTGTTCATCCACATGGAGTCTGCCCAATAACTGGCCCATGGATCTCAGTCACCCCTTTTGATAGGGTGGACATATTAACCCCTAAGGCTGTAGCCCTTTTTCTTTTGCTGGTACAAACATCTTTATACATATGAATGTCTCTAAAGTAGGACTCTTCTGGTCCCTCATGGAGGTGCCCTTGGACACACAGGTGTCTGTGCACCTGTGCGCACATACAACTGGACCTGGTGAGAACTTCCTTGCTCCTCTATTATCTAACCCCCTGTGGTTATGCCTTTGAAGAGATATAAAAAAAACCGTGGTTCTTGCCCCTTAGAGACCCACAGTCCATGGGCTTTCCTTGCAGCTGGATGGGATTTCACTGTTCTATGCCATAGGCAGCGCTTCTTAAGGTCTTTTCCTTAGGTGCTCGCACCCACAAACTACTTCATTCCCAGGCCACTTCAGCTAGTTGTCAGCTGGTGCAGCTCGTACACCTGCAACCATTCCAGTCGCTGGCACCACAGACAGATTGGCTTGGTTTCACATATTCTGGTCTCTTCAGTTACATGCACACTCATGGACCGTTTAGCCTGTGGTCCCAGCCTAGGTGTTGGCAGCCAGACCCTCACTTGTTCCAGATGCTGGCCACTCTGGATTAGAGATCCATATGGCTTGATGTCACATTACCGTTGCTGGAATCATACTTAAGTCCCCTCACTCTGGTCTCTCTAGTTGCTGGTGTCCATGGACACAGCAGCCCTCTAGTCTGTGGCCTGACTGTAGTTGCTGGCACTTAAATGCATCTTCACACTGAATAAAGAGTACCTCACCAAGGAAAACAGTTCAAAATGAAATTTAATGAGGCAATGTAATGAGAATAGCAAGATTGTGTTATGCACATGCAGGGAACACAAGGATAGATGTATCAACTATCAAATTGTTCAGCCATCTTATCCACCTGTTTTTCCCTGACTTAATCCTTTCAAGATCATGTAGATTTCCCTTGCTTCTTCTTCACAAGATATCCCGTGTCTTGTCTAAAATTCTTTTCATCCATGTCCCATTTCTGTACATGTAAAACACCTTCAGTCTGAAAGGTCCTCTGGTCTTTGTTGACTCTTGGTGATTTTAACACCTAGGGATAGGAGCTGAGGCTCTCCTGAGGTTGTTCTGGGAGGAGTGTGACAGGAATGTCCTTTCTCAGAGTCCTAAATTTGGTTTCCCTCATATTACTGTGTTTCTCTCTGCATCTCTGAGGTGATGGTTCCTGTCATGGGCTTGAGAGAAGCTAGAGCTGGGTGTTGGGTGCACACATCCCTCCATCCCCCTTGTCGGGGGGGTGCTTTATGGGTATGAAGATGAGGTCTATCACATAACCAAACATTATTAGCAGAAGCCTTTCACTGTTTATATTTTATGGACCTTTTCTCCTATTTTAAAACAAATAGACAGTTACGTGAATTCACATGTCATCTTCTATGCTGTAGTTAAACTTCCCTACTTACTCATTTTTCCACCACTTAATGCTAACATATTTGTGCAGGAAGACATTGTTAAACTGAAAATAGATCAGGACATTCACTGAAGCCATGTGACAAATTTGTTTGTCAATATGAGTTAGATGACAAGCTTAGATCATAGTATAGGTGTACTTAACAGCCATCTTGTTAGACCTTTTCTGTCTCAGGAACATTTATCATGGTCCATTTCTTAGGATGCTTTTGAAATTGTGAGAAATTACTAGATTAAGTCAGATTCTTAGTACATTGATCCTGTTTCCTGAAAGTATTTTCCCAAATATTGCCCTGTTCCTAAGAATTCTTACCCCAAACTGTCTGTACAAGTTGCTGCAATGCGGTAGCATAAAATATATTGATTTGTCTGAGTAACCCTGAGAGTAGTTCAGTTGGTTCAAGCATGGTGCTAATGACACCAAGGTTGTGAGTTCCATCCCTGTATGGACCATTCATTGAATAGTTGGACTCAATGAGCCTTGTGGTCCCTTCCAACTCAGAACTTTCTGCAATTCGGTGACTTTATATCCATGTGAATTTCCTACCCAGAAATAGCTGCTGTATTTAAAAGCTGCTGTTCTTAAAATCAGAGCTTAGTGCTCTGATGAAGGAAAATAGAGATGAAGAAGTGGTATAACATATTAATTTATTTGAAGAGAAGCAAAGGGCACCTTATTGTTTACAGAAGTGCCTTATGATTTTTCTGTTGTAAGTGCATGCTGACCTCGGCTTGGTTATGTGCATCACATTATGGATAGTAAGGATACAAAAAGTGACCCAATAAACAATTGGTGGTGTAGAACAAAAATAAGTCTTCATCAATAATTCATGGATTTTGATGTGCTTATATTGATAAATTAATTAAACAAATCTGCCTGTGTTCCTCAAGCCTAATGTGCCCCTGTTATGATTAGCTTTATAGAACAGAGCATTTTAACATTGAGTGAAGGTAAATGGTAAAAGAATAGTGTAGTCACGAAGCTCTGAGTGCTTCCATTTCTAGTCACAGAGTGGTTTCAAGGAAAGGAGGCTTTCTTTGCACACCTGCAGTCATTCAGTGCACAGGCCTCTTGTGGTCAATGTTGATTGCTCCTTCTCTATAGCTGAACAAAAAATAATTTAGTATGGTGTAACCTTCTGTGATTTAATACTATGTTTTTTTCTCCAGAATTGGCACAAAGATAGATCTTCCAATAGTGACAGTAATTATTTGCACAGCTGTAGTTGAGGGTCTTCCAGAATTTTCCATTATAAACTCTTAACAGTCAGTTTACTACTCAAATGTAAAAAAACTGTTTTCAGTGCTCCTTAGGTATGAGGAGTAAAGTGAACTAAATTGAATATTCTTCTCCCCAAAATCATGTTGAGGTTTTCTTAATCTTTGGATATTTCATCCTTTGTAGTACGCTTATACTATATCTTTTGAATGCTTGTAGTCATGCAAAGGTGAATCTAATATCTTTTGTTTTCATCCAAGATAAGTGCTCTTTTAATCAGATTTGAGATGGATAAGTTAACACACTTCAGCTGTAAGTTATATTTACATTCAAATGTGTTAGATTAATATACGTTGAGTTTCAGGGTAAAATAAAATGGACTTCCTGAAATTCTTGGCTATTGCACTTTAACCTGTTTTCTATAAGAAAGAAAAAACTGTGCTCAAGTGATCAGTTTCCCCATGTCAACGTCTTAGATTATTATAGTCTTAATTTACTAGTTACTAATATGAAGCAGAGCATTGTGTTAGTGGCCTTCATCTGACTGATTCATTAATTAGGTAGCATTGCAGCACCTCAGACGTTTCATAAGACGTTGGAGAAGCACGTGAGTGCTCCAGGGATCTATTAGGTTTTTTTGGGTTTTTTTTTTAATGTTGATAAAAATGTGAAACCTAGAAGCTACTATTATAGAATTCTTAAACTTTCTCCTAGTGATATTCACTGTGTTTTCTCTTTTCAGATAAAAAAGCTTGTGTATGTTTATCTAATGCGCTACGCAGAGGAGCAGCAAGATCTGGCGTTGTTGTCCATCAGTACTTTCCAGCGTGCTTTAAAAGTGAGTGACTACTAAATAACATTTTATAGGAAACTCTGAGCTGGTAGCACAAAAATAAAAATACCTGTGTAAGTATAGTATGATAAACTAAAGCATGTAAATATCTGCATCTGATATAAAGTAGTTTTAAGTTATGTGATTTACCAAATTTTTCTCTGCTGCCTCAAGCGTTGTCAAGCAGCTAAGGTAGCCTGAAAGAAGTAAAATTACTTCACTTCAGATAAACAGCAGAATGAGGCTTTCAAATCCACATTTAATTTCTGTAATCACTTTTCTCATTCCAGCGTGACTTGTGTGTATAGAAAGAAGACCCTGTTGTTAGCATGAATCACCTATATTCTTTTTAGTTTATGTAAAAGAAAGGGCTTTGTGTACAAGAGAGAATTGAAACATAAGGAAGACAGTAGTACCTAAATTAAAGTACTCAGTGTCTTGCACATGGTAGTTTCTCATTAAAAGCACTGAAAAAATAGCTTTTTATACTCTTTTGTTTCAAATGAGGTAACAGTGAGAAATGGGATTAGACAGCAAAGTTTAGGATTGCCTTTGAAGTGTGACTGTGGAGAGAAGAAATTATTAAGTCTCTGTTCTGAAATTTTGATAGCTTGTATTATAAGAGGAGATTGGGTTTTTTGTGTACCCATCTTGTACTCAAGGCTCATTTCTGTTAAGTCACTTAACCCATGCCTTGCATCTTGTTGGAAAATGTTGCAATCAGAGTTGTGCACCTGTAGGAGTATCCCACATCAGCTAGAGAGTTTTCTACCCCCTTCCCTTGAACTTTCATCCCAGTCTCATATATACTGCCTTCACTATCTCTGACTGCCATGAAAAGCTAGAATTAAAATGACTTTCTTTCTAGTGTTCTTCGTGATATGTGTATATAGTGAACATTCCTCATGGCATAACTCTTTTAAAAGCTAGGTAATGAGAGCAGAGGGAGGAGTGATAATGTTATGGCTGAGTAGCAAAAAAAAATTGGTGGTGTGGCAAGGGGATGGACACCAAATTAGTGGAGATTCTAGCAATTAAAGAAATTACTAAGTCTGCTATGAAAGACAGGTCTCTGTTAATTTTTTGTAATGTTTTGGTTCGTTTTGGTAATGATTATAATTTGGCTTTATGTATGGAGATTTTTTTTACTTCCCTCTTTCAAAGGAACTTTTTATTTTAAACTTAAACTTTATATAAACTTAAGTGGCTGCAAATGAGCGTTGCAAACTCTAGTAGGAGCAAGATATTTTTCAAAAAATGGTCAAATAAAGGACTTTCACCATCTAGATACTTACTACTTAGAAGCTTCTAGGATGTAGGAATTTTGAGATCTTAGATTAATTAATAATTAGGTAATACCAGTCTGAAAATATGTGTTGCCAGCTCTCAGTCCGTGGGAGAAATGTTCTTCGGGAGGTTACTTTCTGGCAAGACATTTACCGTATAATGAATTAATGATGCTGCAATTTCACTTTGCTAGATTTCGGGGGATTTAGTACTTGATTAAGCAACATTTTTCCCTTGTGTTCCAAGCCCATGGTTAATGGGTAAAGTTTACGTAACAGTTCATCCAAATACAGATATGTTGGATTTCCAAGCTAACTCTAGTGTTGTAAAATTGACCAAGGACTGGGGCAAAAGAAGAGAAGATAAGAAATAAAAAAAGTCTCAAAACATTTAGCTTAATATTTTGACATGTTCTTTAAAATTGTTTTTGTTACTGGCTCCAGTTTATATCTTGTAGTAAAGCATACAATGGATATTTTGTCAAGAACTTGAATGGGAATATCACAAGTGAGAACAACATTTTTATTTGACATTTCATAAGTATAAGTAATAAAATTGGGCTACCATGGTTCTCAGAATATCTGAATTCCACTTGGATTACAGCAAATGTATCAGATTATTAAATAAAGTATTAGTCTTTTTATTCATAATTAACATATCTTGTTTGGAAAATTGCATTATGTTAATGTTTTCCTTAAAATAAAATTTTCATATTTTCATAATGTTTCATGTTCTCTTAATTTGTTTTACTTATTTTTTATTTTGGAAATTTCTTTATATGAAGCGTGGCACATTTTCTTATTAGTGTGGCCTTCACTTGCAAGTCTGACTTGGATAGATTTACGTGTTTTTATGTGTCGTCACTAATTAGTGTAAATATAGAAGAGAATTTAATTATTTCTTCCTGCACTATCTGATTTTATTTCTCCCTTCACTCCTGTTCTTTAGGATCCTAATCAGTTAATCCGTGCAAGTGCTTTAAGAGTTTTATCCAGTATACGTGTCCCAATTATTGTTCCTATTATGATGCTTGCTATTAAGGAAGCCTCTTCTGATTTATCTCCATATGTGAGAAAGAATGCAGCCCATGCAATCCAAAAACTGTACAGGTAAGTGATTCTTGCAATTACCGAGAAACAATGTTAGGATAGTTGTGGGCTATGTTTATAAAGGCTGCTGTGACTTCGGCATGTCTCAGATACATTTCTTTAAAAGTTTGGAGTGGATGTAGGCATTCTGTCACTCAGCAGGTTTGGTTGTAATTCAAGCAATTCTCTTGATTGCTAGACTTAACAGGGTAACTATAAAGAGATACAAAAAGAAACGACACTCTTTTGGTTTTTAATATACTAGTTATTTTCATCTATGTAACAACTGTTTTGATGGATATTCTCAGAATTTATGAATTAATTCACTGTTTCAGGTCTCTATCTTTCATCCTGAGGCACTTGACTGAAGGTCGTTTGCGCACTTGTGACAAAAGAGTGCTAACTTCTAGAAATTTTGTCTGTGCAAATCCAAATCTTTCAGATCTGTCTCTTCCTACTTCAGAAATTCTTGCTGTGTAGGAGTTCTTACAAAGATGTGGGTAGTGGTTTGCAGAGGTGGAGTCAACAGAACCTGTGCCTTTGTAAAACATCTCCAGGCATTTATTTTACTACTTCACTTTTATTTCAACTCTGCCAAAAAGTGGAGGTTGAGAGATGTTAGAGGTTCTGAATCAGGTAACCTGAGGCTGCTGTGATTCTATGCTACTTCAAACCACCCAGTCACAATGCTGAGCATGTGTTCCTAATGGGCACATACACGCAGATACATATACGGCACACATACACGCAGCCATCTGTACAGATCACCAGTCACACATGAGCCGTTGTGCACACAGTACCAGTACCAGCAGCCTTACTCAGTTGCACTCTGGTTGATCGTTATACAGACGCATTAGCATGCTTGGATATATACAATATGGATCTCTAATAATAATACTAGATGCTCAGTGTTTCCAGAAACAGGCTTTTGATCCCCAGTTTCCCAGTCAATGGCACACAAAAATGCACAATGCTTGCAAGCTCTCTCCACTTCCTACTACAGATTCCCTCAGTCAGACATACACATGCCCAATTCTTTCACTTTAACACTAATGAATTCCACAATATCTGGATTTAGACACTAAGACTGTGCTGTAAGGGGCCCTTATACCTTCTTACCTCCACTTGTCTTCAGTTAGGTGGAGAGGAAGTGGGGAGGGAAACAGAGATTGAGACACTCAAATGGGCATCTCAATAGACTTCCAAACCTTACAGTTTCCCCAGTAGTTCGCCTGAATACCCTGGGCTGTATGGTAGGCAAAATCTCCAGTTATTGCACTCAGACACACATACAGATGTTCAGCCTAGATCTATGGCCCCGCTTCAGTACTTGGCTTCCCAAGCCTCCTAGTCTGTTTTGATATTCTCAGGCATTCACACAATGACATACATACTTGCTCTGGTTGCTGGTGCTGCAGTTGTACAGGCTTGTATATCACACGGTTTAGCTCCTCTCTCACACATGCACCCGCAATAGAGACTGCCTGTGTAGTTATCAGGTTCACTGCATGGATAGATAAGTGTACTGAGCAGCGAAGCATTTACATACAACTGGCTCCTTTTATACAGCTCTCCCTCTATCTTCCTGTTCTTGTTCCTCTCAAGATGATTTACATCCCTTCATTTCCCTGCCTTTCATTTATCCCGTAGAAATCCCATGTTAAGTCTTGTCTTACTGGCATTCATAGTAAGTCTCAGTCCTGTAACTAGTAATATCCCTAAGTCTTGAAGGTACTCTGGAGATCCTGCCAGATGGTGTGTTCATTTCAAGACCATGAGGCTGATGGCTTTACCATAACAGCTCTCTGACAAACCTGGGCAGAGATTTCTTCCTTGCAGTGATCTTTATGGTTTTTTTTTAGTGAGCTGAATGCTGTCATGTGATGCCCTTTTATCATGTAGCCTAATGAAAGGGAATGGATTTAAAGTCTCTTCCTACTATTTGAGTAGGTTATTTTTTCTTAGCAGCTGGTTCCAGTACACAAAAGCTTTTTGGCCTGAATTATTCTCTATATATAGAATGCCATTTTTTTCGGTTTTTTTTCCTGATAAGATTAAAACTCTTTGGAGGAGCTCAGCAGGAGAAAATGGTCTGTTAGTGATGTATCTGTTAGCAAGACACAGTAGTATCTGGACAGCAGGCTATTTCATGGAATTTTAACTGAAATTGATGCCTCCTTTTCTTCTCTTCATGACAGCAAAGTTGGTTTTACTAGCAGATTAAAGAATTTATTGGTAATTGGTGCAAAACTGGAAAATACTGAAATCTGATGATTAAAAATGACCTTTCATCTGTCATCTAATCTCCAGATATGATTGCATCTCCAAATATAACATGCATGTTTTCTTATCTCTGGCTCATATGTTATTCTCATATGTTCTCATATAACTCATATGTTATCTATGACGTCAGTGGCAACATATGGAAGTCATCACTGCAAATACAATGAAAAGACACTTTTTATAGTAAAAGGTAGGGGACATGGTAAAAAACACAGTAGCAGAATCTGTAGAAACTGACCTTACCTCCTCCTACTTTCCATGAATTCCTAGTGGTAGTAAAATGGACACGGAGCTTATGTAACAGAGGAAAACTAGTGAAACTGAAGTTCTGTAAAGGTTTCCTTAATTGTTCAGAGGGCCTCAGAGAGTGCATCCTTCAAAAGCTCACTTCATCTTAGGTGTTGTAATGCAAAATTTCAAACTGCTGTAGCTGAAAATTCCTACTTACCTGGACTAGAGTAAGCTTCATGATTACTTCTGAGTGGAGCTGTATCTAAAAATTGTGTCCTTAGTAGTAGGATTTGTGAGATGTTTATAAAAAGCATGTGAACTTTTGTTTTCACATTTTCAACACTTTATAAATGCTGTATCTCATAGTGCTGATTAACCATGGAACCAAGGGAGAGAGTTTTATTCTCTTGGTCACTGGAAGAAGCAGCAGTATTGGAAACTGGTGAAGAGGCTATCAAATTAACTTGCCCACAGGCAGACCCAGTTGGCTTGCCAGCAAGTAGGAGTAGTCCATCTTTGTAGATGCTTAGAAAAGTTTGTGATTGGTAGCTAGACAATTCAGGAATGCTGATCATACATTGGTGGCAAGGCTTGACTATTGGCCTACTGTAACAAGTTATTAATTTCAGAATGCTTATTTTTAGGTTGGTCAGATTTAGAATCCTCAAGGGGATGGATTTTTGAAGTAAAAATCACTTAGTAACAGTTTATTCTAATATGTCTATATGCTCCATTTGCATTTTGGTTTTCCCGGCTTCTCTACATGTTTGATAGTTCAGTATTTCAGTTAGTGCTCTAGTCAGGGTTCTGGATGCAAGTTCGATACTCCAATCTTCCCTATATTTAGTGTCATGGTGTTTGGATGGATGTCTGCCCTAGAAGAGCTTGTTTATTAGCAGTACCATCAATCCTAACAGCTGGAAGCTTACATATCAAAGCGAAAAGATTTCAGGCATAGTCTGAACAGCAACATTTGTGTCCAATGCAGTCAACATTGCCAGGTATGTTGAAGTAATTTCATCGCTGAAGATGTCAGACCTTTTGCTTATTTCACTTAAGAGTGCATTTTAAAGGCATTAGTAACTTTGATCTGTCAATTGAAAACTGTACTCTGTTTACAGTGAGGTTTGGAGAAGGACTACTTCCAATCACTAGTAGTGGTTCTTTCCATACTAGTGCTAGATGTCATAATGGGAGCAAATCACAGACGTCTTTAGCCTCTTCTATTTTTTCTCTCTGAAAATGGTCCCTTCCTTGTCTTAAATATCAGAACAGTGCAGAGGGAGAAATGTAAATTCCGTTATTTGACCCTTTACTGAAGACTTTTCGTGATCCCATGAAAAAAAGGTTTTGCTGAAGTTTTTTAGCTTTAAGTATTCCTTTCTCTCTAAATTTTCTGCCAGTTTTTAAAACTTGAAGTAAGACCTCTTTGAAAGACTTTTGGCTTTTCCTCTGAAGGTTTTGGCAGAAGACCCTTTTATAAAAATGCCTTTTACAAAAATAGAAGTTGGAATGGAAGGTCATTATAAAAATACTTACAGAACAGTGTACTATTGTGTTGCTTATGATGATGGTGGCTTCTAACAAAGTTTTGCTATTCATGTTCTAATATTGCTAGGTTTTAGAGCCTTAGTGAAGTAATACTCAGATAGATAATGACTTTATGAATCTGTACCTGGAAGGATATACTGTGCATTAGGGAGTCCATCACTCAGCATTAAAATTGAAGTATGCAGAATGACCAAATACTCTCTTACTTATCTGTAATTGCATCCGTGTTGAAATGAGTTTTCAAAGGCATAGAACTACACGTTTCTGTGGGTGTTTGTACTCACTTTGTCTTCCTATTTTCTTTTGACTTGGCTTTAAATTCTTCTGTGCTGTATCAATCCATGGTGAGGAAGCAGCTGGAGGGAAAAGTTTGTCCTTAGTTGCCTAAGAAGCAAGTTTGACAGCAGTGGATATCTCTGGCAAATTTTTCTCTGCTTTTGTAACGTGAAAAGATACTACAAAGGTTGTTGCTTGCAACTTCTGTTTTTCTTCTGCTTTTGCTATCTATGTAGTATTTCAAGCAGTCTCTTTTCCATTAGCTTGCACACTAGCTTTATATAGATACACTTGAATACAATGTCCACATTTTTTAGTTCCAATACTTGTGACTAAAATTAGGGTTTTACTTAAAAGTGGTTGAAGTGTCTTACTCAAAGCTTTATGTTGATAATTACATAATAAAAGTAAGACTCTTCTTTGTCCTGATGTTCATTCACTGCTGAATTATGTTCATGCCAAAATTAATTTCTGCAAAAGCAGTGGCAACCTTGTCACTTAACATCTGAAGTTCAGTCAAGTTCTTTGTGATGTTGGTTGGCCTGTCTTAATGTTTCTTAGAGCCTAGTTTCTTTATGAGTTTAAGTTTTCTGTAGAACACACATAAATGATATAAGATAAAATAATACTGATAATTTAATTTATACTCCTAACTTGCTTTCAGTCAAGTACTTTTGCAATGAGTTCTCTGGAATACTCGATTTTTCTGGAAATGGTTTCTGCAAAGTTCTTTGTTCCTAGTTTGTGCCTAAATGTCAAAAACCCAAGTCTGCTTTAATTTTGTATACATCTGACCAAATTTGTTAAAATAATTTTATTTTTCTTTCTAGTCTTGACCCAGAGCAAAAGGAAATGTTGATTGAAGTGATAGAGAAGCTTTTGAAGGATAGAAGTACGGTAAGAAAAAGGTTTTGTGACATATGCATATATTTTTAGAGAGTTTACTCCCGAGTCTGTCATTCCGCAGTAAGTAATACATTTTCCTAACCCTTGCCAATGTGACTTTGTATGTTTTTAGACAGAAGTATCATTGTGTATTTGGGCATTTATAGTATGACTGTAGTAGTGATTATGCTTTAATAAGACATAATTTTACTTGCATCATGGGTCTGTTAATTAATGTTTTTGTTAGCATGTGTTTTATTAAAGTTTATTTTTTATTTACGCTTTATTTTGAAAACTGAAGTTATATAATAATATGAGTCAGTGTGCAAGTGTTTATCTATAAATTTTCATATCCACTTTTTCCTTGGGAAATTAGTTTGAAAATTTCAATTAGTTTGTAGTACTGTAAGAATAAATTACTTGTGTATGATGCACAGTGTGCCTATTGACATCCATCTATTTTACAGTGTGTATAGTTGTTAAAAAATTGAGTATTTGCTCAATTTTACAGTTGTTTGCTCTTGCCAGTATCTCCACTTCCAGTCTGGTAAATAAGAGATGTTTTGGCATAATTTCTGTAAATTTAAGGCTCTTGTTATATTTTACCTGCCCTATATAGCTACAGGTTTTCCATATGAACTCCTGGATGTCTCACAATGGTCACACTTTATTTCATTTTATTTTGCAAAGAAGTTTCCCACTTATAGACTAGAAAGGTAATTGACCAAGGAATCAAAGTTGTATTTCAAAGAAAAAACAGATTTGTAAATTCAAACATTCTCATGTTTTTCAGGTCACTAATTTAATGAATGAAATCCTTTTTGACTAAGTGAAAGTATTACTGGGTATCAGATAGCGTTTTGCTTCATCTGCTATTTGCCGAGTGTTTTTGTAACACTTACGGCTGTATCCTCCATTGTTCTAGCACAGTCAAGGTGTTCAGAGCACAAGAGGTGCTGTTTAGTAAAAGACATCCTGCAGCCTCTACTGCAGGGTTCCTGAAATGGGTGTGTTAGAGCTCAGTGGCTCAGCAGACAGTAGATCTCCTGACTGCATCTGTGCTTGACTTGACAGATGCCTTTGAACTTGTGTGAAGTTGCACCTGCAGTGGTCCTTCATGTATTTTATTTCATCGTTCATGCTCATAGTATACATGCAGTCTGTGAATGAGGGATTAGGTTGTTAGTACCAGTGGAGGAATAAAGGGCTAAAAACTACCAAAAAAAAGTAAAATCTCTGAGTTTGTATCTGTTTCCTAGGCCTTATATCATATGGTAAATGGTTATCCCATGCCTAGCCATTTACACATTTACTTTAACAAAAAAGTATAGAGTAGGTTTGGATCTTTTATCTCCTTGGGATTTGAAATTACTTATAAGAAGATAATGGACTAATTGCCTAATGGGCTCATACACTGAGTAATAGACACCGTATTTATAAAGATATCAGCTCAAGCAATAGCTAAAAATGATAGACTAAACTTAGGTCTTCTGGGTTTGTGTGGAGAATAGTTAACTGCTGCAACTTTTTGCTCCTTCTGATCCCTCTTTGTCTATTCCCTAGCAAGCCGTGATTCCAATCTGGGCTGACATCTCAGCTTCAGAAGTCTTACTATTTTGGGAGCTGGTGTGAAGAAGAATTATTTCAGAAGGAAAACATACAGATCTCTATTTAAGACGCTCTGCATCTAACTAAGTGTGCTCTTTCACCCCAGACTCCACAGCTTCTGGTCGTCTAAAATGGATCAGTCTCTGTTTGATCTTTCATAGCTTTGGAAGGACTAGTCTGCCACGGCTAGCTTTATCTTAAGTAGTTATCTTTTGTCATGTACCACTGAGTGTTCCCAGAAAGCCTCCACATTTACTAACAGAATGTGCATAGTGCACAAGTGTTTCTTTAGCAGGTAACTCCAATCTGAATAAGCTTATTCTTTGTCCCTAATTGGAAAACAGCAATTTGCTCACAGTGGGGAAATCAAGAGTGCCATTTGTAGCTAGTTTCAGCCTTTAAAATTGGAGGAGATGCACCTGCTTATGGGTGGTGGTCCTTATGTACATATGTACACACCTGTGCTTAACACCAGCGTTAGGCTGGTGACTTTATAGGTTTAATAAGGCTGCGTCCTGGGGAAATTTGTGTTAATTTGATTCATCTTTTTGAATTCTTTAAGAGAAGCTGCACTTCATACACTTAGCCTAAAAGAGAAAGCACCTTCAACATACACAATAAAGACAAATACTTTTAGAAAGTATTTTACAGTCTAGCTGAAGAAATTAGCTGTCCATTTGCTGTCATAGGAATTCTTCAAAAGGGGCCGAATTGTAAAACAAGAGCTTTTGGTCATAGACTTATGAAGGGCCTGTATTTGATTAGTGGCATGTCTCAGCTTTTTGCAGCTCCCGTTGCCTGTTTGACAGTCAAGATGCCTGGAATTTGTAGGGTGATAACTGATTTGTAGGGTGGAACTAGAACCATAAATGTTTACTTGACACTCATGTTTGGATTCCTTCTACTTAAATGCAGAGCTCTTCCCTTACATTAACGTTAATCTTTATCTCCTGCTACCTCTGATCTAATGTCAGCAAATCAGTTTTTCCATTTAATAGGTTTTTTACTAGAGTGGGAGAATCCTAGGGACTTAGTTGAATATCAGTGGTTTTCCGTCTTTTTTCACTTGTTGGAAATGTCAAGTTACTTTTGGCACTTCTATGTACTTAAGTGTTTATAATTCTCAGACAAGCCATAATATGTTGTATGTTAATCACTGGATCTGAGATAATCCACTGTAGATTGATTATTAGTTATTTTGATTATAACTTTTTATTTTTTTATATTTTATATATATAATCTATTTGATTTTTTAAAAATCCATTTGGTTTGGACATGTTTGGAGGGAGAATGTAATTAGTAACATTAGCTATGCATATAACAGTCTAATATTATTCAGGTAATATTTGAGGCTGCACTTTAATGAGAAGTAAACTTTTACTCAAAATCTGTTTATTTTCTGTAACTATTTGACCTCAAGCAGGATTTTTGAAACTTCCTGGCGTAATCTCTATGTTAGAGGTAGAAACAGCTAATAAGAGTAGATGCCTCTAAATTTCTGCAAACCAGGATTTTTTTTCAGAGAGAACATGCTGCTGTGTGTTATTATTGCAGTTTTTGTTGTACGGAAAAAACCACAATGTATTTCAATTAGCCAGCCTAATTTTACATTTGAAATAGCAAGACATTATCTGGAGGGGAATTCTACTATAGTAAAATTAAGCCCTTTTTTATACAGTATAGGATGTGTTTATTTTTTTTATGTCTCAATCAGTAGTAAATTTTAATATAAGCTGAGGTGAGCAAAACTTAAAATGAGATGAGGTCTAACCTTAACCCAACACTTCATTAAAATTTCTGGTGAGATAAATGAAAAATCACTCTACTCCTTGAGTGTCTTAGCACAAAGATTCAATTAAAACACAAGCTCTCTGTTAATATAAAATGCAGAATTATCAAGTGTAAGCCATTGTTAACATACCCTCAAGGGTAGCTGACTAGGAATTAGAGTCTATGAACAAATCTGTGATTTTGTGCAAGTGTTTTTAAAATTTTAATAGATAATATGTTTGCAAGTATTTTTATTAATGAGGCTTATAAACTCCTAGTTATGTTTTTACCCTTGCTTTACAAGTACCTCACATTTTGATAAGCAGGTACAAGGGCATAAATACCTGCTCCTTTTGTAACTCTAGATAGCTGAGCAGCTGATGTAATTTTATGTAGAAGGGAAGATAAGAGCATGCTTGTATTCTATGCTAAAATTATTTTCCTGAAAGTAATATGGCTAGTCATGTATGAAAGTATAATTGGGTGTTTTAGAGCAAACTAGTTCCCTTTTCTTATTAGTTAATTCTGTCTTGCTTCACTCTAATTCTATTTTATCTATTCAATGATAACCTAACTTTGACGCCTAGGGTTTAAGGCAAGATTTGTTTCATAAGTTTCTTTTGGGAAAAAGAAAAGATGCTGTGAAGGACCGTAGTTAGTAGCCTGTGTATTTTACAATGCTATGTAAACAACAATGAAAATCAAGTTGATTTATGATATCTGAGTTACAGTCGGTAAAAGAAAAATAAAATCCGTGTTGGCATTGAAAAGGAATCATGCCTGTTAATCCAAACCTGTAAAGGACTTGCATTCCACAGTCTAAATTAAAGTATCCCAACTATGTTGAAAACTTCATCAATAAACGAAAGGCAGAATGTAGTTGAGATGTAGTTGTATGGATGATGGGTATATTAAAAATGCCCAGATTTATTGCTGATTTACATCTATAGCTTTGGTCAGATTTTGTTTGGGTACATACCTCTGTTATAACGAATTTATTATTCTGTTCTGGTGTGATAATTTACTACTAACAATAACATGTAACTTTATATTAACTCAATTTTGGGGATGAAAAGACCTTATACAAATATGTGAGTGTACATGCAAATATGTGAATATAGAGATTTCTTTCACAGAGTGCATGGCTACTAGATGAAGTGCAGATTTCTTCTCAGTGACATTCCTTTGATTAAAAAATCATCCTAGGAATTGATGGCTTTGTGATGAAGATCTTACTCTTACACTAAAGCAGTGTATTTGGGCATAGTGGAGAAAGAAAACTCGGCACTCTTCTTTTCAACAGGAGTCTTCTTAATGTAATATTTTAGTTTAGAACCCAAATGTGTGGGTAAAGACAATGTTTTCTTAACTTACTGATTTTATGATGGTGAATGCTTCAATTTTGTGGAAAAAAATTACTGAGTTTGTGCAGATGTTTTGTTGTGATAGATCTATTATCTAGCTATTAGAAGATAAATGACTGATCTTTTCCGCTTTCCTTGCCTCCAGAAAATTGAAATAAGAAGGGGAATATCATTTGGGCTGTATGATTAGGGCAGGTGGGGTGGTCATTAATTTAAGAGAGAAGAATCTTGGCAGCATGGACCAACTTGCACTGTATTATCAATCAAACCTCGATGCACTTCTTGTGATGACCCAGCACTCTCAGGTTTTCGCAGCGTTAATTAGAATTCATGACAAAATAGATGCAAGGAAACGTTTTGTACCCTTCATAATTTTATAGAAAATTTATTGTTATTAGAGGAACCATTTGCTTAGTGTGATTTTTTTCATTACCAGCTTGTCAACTAGCATAGATAATCTGGAGAAAATATGAACTCCATAGATTGGGTGTCACTTTTGTTGATGGTTCATATAGTTTACCTTGGAGCACAGCTAATGGCTGAAGTTCATAGCAACAGCACAGAAAAATGTGGCACCTAGTGGAAGACAAATGAACCATGTTTATTGCTTTAATATAAAAAATACATAAATGGAAAGCAGCATTTGAATTTGATGAGCTCATTGCTAGTTTTGTTGGAGTGATTTATATTTTCTCCTTATATAAAAAGCTGCTATTGACACAGTGAGATGGAAATTAACTGACTGTTTTTTGGAAACTGTTATTTTTTTGGTTTATATTCTGATTGAATCATTTTGTTTTAATTTTAAATACTTTTATGGAATGTTGAGCATTTAATAAACAAAGATTATTAGCTGTTCCACTGACGTTTAGATATATAGTAGGATCATGCTATAGGGGAAACAGTGTAGACTAGAAAATAATTCCTTACTTAGAAAGCATTACGAAATTTTCTCAGAGAAATCTGCTTATTAGCAGTGCATTTTCAGTCTGTCACATGCTTACTATTTTTCCGTTTTCGAATGAAAAGCCTAATTTTAGAAAATACAATAATGGGGAGAGAGGCATGATCTTAATAATGTCATGATGAATGGCATTCCTATATTAACTTGTAAATCTAGGGACTTGCCACAGGAATAAAATGCTTGTTTATCCAGTGCACCTCTTGCATTTCATAGCATATGTTCAGTTTTTTTACTAATGTTTCTTAAGCGTTCACAAGCGACAGCATGGTCATTGTAAACTTGAGTAGGAGATGGATGTAATTTGAAATCAGTAATTATTTAGAATTCCTGTGTTCCACTTTGACTCTTTCTTTCTATTAAATTGTTGTGTTTTATTCATAGTAACTGAGCTTTTAAAAAGCCAGCAGTGTTTGTAAGTTGTATTCTCAGTTTTAAATTATCTGAGTTAGTGTTATATGTATTTTGTGTCAGCTTTCAAACTAAATCATATCCAAATGAAAGAGAAATACAGCAAAATGTGTATACTGAATTACTAGTAGTAAAAGACAAGGGTACTCTCTAAAATTATTGTTGGAAATCTGTGTCAGCCTTCACCTATGGACGTAAAAGGGTATTTTTAACCATTAGACTGTGGCTATTCTGATAGTCATAAACTGACGTGTGTCAATGTCTCTTGTCTCTGATATGGAACAATAACCACAAAAAGTCTCTCTATGTGTTCTTAAAGTATAATTCCTTTCTTCTAAATCTTTAAGTCTATCATATTGTCCTCTGCAAGCTGACCTTAGCTGTACTTCAGAATTCTACATCCTGGTAAAAGGATGCACTTTAACAGTGGGAAAGCTCCTTAGCTTCTGTGGCCTAAATGAATACCTGCTCAGGACAGATAGTGATTTGTCTGCCTTCTGCTGAGCTTCGAGCACCCATCTTAGCATCAGCTTGTCACAGTTTTTAATTACAGTTAGGTTACTGCTGCAGCACATTATTAAGGAGAAAGTTCAGTGCAACAACAGATAAAAAAGAGCTTTTGTTTTTATGATACGGCAAACTATTTTAGATGTAAAGTGTATTTAGCTCTATCAAATAATCAGATTTTGCTCCCTGGAATGAGTTGCATTCTTGTTGGGACCAGCAGGTACCAGTATGTGGATGAGGCTGGAGACAATAAATGCAACTTCACGTTTATTCTTATTGGTAATTCATAAAATCCCCACAGAGCCTGAGACTTGTTTAGCATAATAGCAAGACTGTCTTCTGAGCTGTTTTCTTTCAATTGTAATGTTGAACGCATACTAATAAACCACATGTCAGCCAAATACAGGGAGAAAAATGTAACATATGAATATCATTGTATTTAATATTTCTCAAAAAGTATCATTTCAATAAACTGCACTTCTATTTAATTGCTTACTTTAAGTCATTGGGGAAATTATAGAGGTTGAAATGCAGATCCCTAGTGCTCAGATAGAATATGACATTAATTTGCTGCCAGAAGGCTATACTGCATGCATGCTAACTGCATACATATCAGCTGCTTCATATAAAGTATCATCATTTTAGTTATTTGACTTAACATGTACTCTGACACAAAACAAATCTTAATTAAAGCAATTAGAAGAGAAAGAACACTAATCCCAGGCACACAATTGTATGTCCTTATAAGGCATGGTCAGCTTTTGATCTTTTCTTGCAGTTAAAGTAATCTACTGACAGAATTTTATCTGGAACTCCAATACATATTTCCTCCTATTATTTTTAAAGAAAATTTCCAGGCAGGTTTCAGTAATCCTTGAGGTGTTAGAATGTTGATAATGCATTTAATTTTCTCATAAAAACAAAGCTATTTTGCAGTCATAGCGTGACAATCTTTGTGCATGAATAAGGAGATCTTTTTTATGAAGGCAAAAAATTGTGTGAGAACATGGTGGGATATAAATGATGCATTCCTGCAATTATGTAACTGTTAAGTGCTGAACAACATGTAGAAATTATTTTTGCATTCTTTGGAGAAAAGTTCTATTCTATTGCTGATTTTTATGCCCTTTTTTGGGTGGGGAGGGAGGAGTGTCTTTATGAAACTAAATATAAAATTTTCTGTGGCAGTTAGTTTTGCCATATTGAGAGAGAAGTTTGAATTCTAGTAATGCCCAGGGAACTTGGCCTAGCTCTTCTTTACTTTGATCAGGCCAGTGTTGATAGAATCCCAGAAAATCTTGCTGGGCATATGTTTTACGTCTTGTTGTTTCCTGTTACTTCTGAGTTAACTGTAAGTTCTCTGTTAATTTATTTGGAATGGAAGCTAAATCTGTAAGAAAAAAATATGCTTACATTGCACTGTGTCTTCAGGGCAGGGAGCTAAGATTTATGTGTGCGATAGAAACAGCAAGTGTTTTCTCTGTTCTAATAACCTTACTCCAATTTTATTTTAAATAAGATACCATTTCTGTTGGCTTATTTTTTGTTGTTGTTATTGTTTTGTTTGTTTTTGCTGAATATAAATAATTTGAAATTGCTGAGAATTGCTAGTATTACTTCTGATTCTCACTTGTGGTCTTACTGTAGACCTAATACTGACCTTCTGGTTTATATTTTGTTTTCTAGCTGGTAGCTGGGAGTGTGGTGATGGCATTTGAGGAAGTGTGTCCAGATAGAATAGATCTGATTCACAAGAACTACCGAAAGCTCTGTAACTTGCTGGTTGATGTAGAAGAGTGGGGTCAAGTTGTTATAATCCACATGTTAACTCGGTATGCACGAACTCAGTTTGTAAGTCCGTGGAAGGTAAGTTTGCAACTTCTTAAATTACTGCTGTGAGCCTGCATTCTGAATTATTTCCACTGCTGGATTTACTTAGTCTTTTAAGATACATTTCTATGGAGACTTTAGTAAAAATAGAGATCAAATACCTAAGTCTTAGCTCTCTAAGATTTCACTAACACAAGGCATCTACCTTTCTTCAAAGCCTGAGAATTCTCCTTCCAGGGTATATATAACCTTTCCTTATTTACTCATGGCACATCCCATGGGCAGCAGAGAGACTCCTGTGGTTCTTTGAGCCATGTTGCTTTTTGCTTTAGACAATTTTACATGAGTCAAAACTAGAAATGTTTGCCATTCTGTCCTGAAACTGGGTAGACTCTACTTATATTGCAGATCAGACCTGGTATCACTGCATGACAAACATTGCACTGCTTGTTTAGGCTTTGTTAATGTGCTGAGGCACTGTGTGAAGTCTTGAATATAAATATTTGAAATGTGAAATGTCAAAAATGAAGTGGTTATTTTCATTTATATTGTGTAAATATGAGTATACTTTTAAAAAATTGTAAAAAGAAGTGTTCAAGGCACAAATTCTGTCACTTCTTACACTAAAAAAGGACACAGCTGAAGAAATTTATGCTGTTAACATTGTTTCAATAGAGATGTAACTTTGAATAACAAAGCAATTTAAAACAATACTTCTGAACTCTTTAAAATTGCTCCACAGCTCTGGTTGGTTGTATTTATTAAAGGCTTTGAAATGTTACTAGTGTTACATTTTGCCATTTAATTTGAAGCCTATTCATGTTTAAAAATGTTATTTTAGTGCAGATTATTGTCATTTATAACTAGCACATTAACAGTTTCTTTAAGATTCCTTTTTTCAGCATTAGAATGCAGAATGACACCAACTATCACTCTATCACTGAGTTCTTTCAAACTGTCTTTTAATATCCTTTGCCTGGGAAAAAAGATGGTAATGCAGTGCCATTCTGTGTTAATATATGTGTAATTTATTGTGTGAAAATAATTATAAGGAGATATATTTGGACAAACAGTTCAGTCTGATTTCATTTACAATTATATTCACTTCTTCTTAGAAAAGCAGGAATTAAAATGAATATAGCAAAAATGTCTGAAGTAGAATCATATTTCTGCACTACTAGATGGATTCTGAAACACCCTTTTTCATTTTTCATGAAAATGAAATTGTTTGTAAGAACACATTTTCCCAGAAAATTGCTTAAAATAAGGAAAGTATTTTTAGATAACGAGACATTTAAGTTCTATGTTTCCCTAATGTCCTTGAGGCAGTTTTTATTACATGTTGTTTATTGGAAGAAGGCAACTTGCATTCTTCTTTCCAACATTTAGAAAGAATCAAAATTGATCATCTGTTTTACCTAAAGCTACAGTCCCACAATATGTTTCAGCCAATTTTAGTCTGTAATTGGACAAAAGGAAAGTTGAAGAGGATTACCTCCTGTCTTGGACTGAGAGGTCGGAGGTCTTGATGGGATTTGGTTTCTTTAAGACTCTAATTCTTTTTTCATTGAAACTGGGTGGATGACGGTTGCTGCTGTGGCTTCTGCCCTAGGAATGCAAAAGATTTGTGTGACAATACTGCCTGTGTCAACCTAAAATTAGTCATCAGTAGTACAGTATTAATAACACTTTGTTTTCACTTTCAAGATCTTCAGTGTAAAATTTAGTTTGTCTACCTACTCAGCAATTTAATTAGCAGATTTTTTTTGTGGTGCTGGTTGATTTGCATGCCTTTGTCAATACATTCTTAAATGAACTCATCGTACAACAGGCCATCTTGTGCAGTAGAAGAGATTTTTAATTTATTTTATTTGCATCATTATGGATCAGTATTTAGGCTGTTTATATGTAAATGTATGATTTGAGGAACAATTAAGTGTTGACAAAGTAGATTGCAGTCATATCAATTGCGGTGCATTTTCCATAATTTTTCTAACTGACATCTTTGATGATAAATAGTGGATGCCAAGTCAAAGCCGATTATACAGTGCACTAGGAATTCATGGCGCTGTCAGGGAGAAGACCGATTGACTTTAAATTTACATATTAATGAGAAGATTTGTTAAGAGGGTGCTTGACTATAGAAAATAACAGCATATTTATAGGGCATGACACTTTATAAATAAAGCTGATGCAGGAAAATGGAAATTAAACCTATCAGATTAATAAATTCAAGGCTGCTAAAATGCATATTTGCATTTTTATTCAGTAAAATTTTCCTTTACTTTTTGAGGAGCATATGTTGCTTTTGTTTAAGTTGAGCTAATTCCTAGCATGTAACGGTGTAATGTTTGGAACTGATTTCTTGAGCATTTAGAAATCTAAAAAAAAATTTGAATACTTACCTAGTAATGGGAAAGATCTTTTTTTAAACAAGATGCTTAAAATTGTTAAAATTACCCATTAACCAAGAACACTTAGTTTTTTATTCCTATTTCTAGCTTTAAAGAGTATAACTTTTAATTCTAGTTGTGAATGAAGTAAGGAATAATGTCCTTGGTTTATCCTATTCATCTTAAAATACTTGGAGGTGCGTGGAGTAGCTTTTTGAGTAGTATGTAAACAGCAGTTTCAGAATAATCTTTTTCTATACGAACTGTATGAATTCAGTTTTAACATGTGTTAGCTGAAATGAGACAAGACACTCATATTCTAGAGTAAAAATACCTGCTTGGGACTAAAACCAGCCAAGAACAATTCCAGGTTTTCTGGGAAGTAAAATACTTCATAGCAGATAAAATTGTGATGCATTTCAGCTTAAATGTTTGTCCTGCCCTTGTTGTAGAAGTTGATGGGATTGCCAAGCTGTATGTAAATACCTCCTGAGCCATAAAAGCTTACAGCCTAATACATAGACGTATACATGGTTTGATGTAGCTGGAGCGTGGACTTGGAGCACTAGAAAAGGAGGAGCACTGGTAGCAATTGCAGTTCTGTACAGGAACTGCACCATGAGTGATGTGCAGTTCTGAAGATCTGGGACATCCTGTCCCTGCATACCCTGTCTATAAGACATGAGAGGTGGTGACTACTAATTCTAGAGCATGTAGTACCCTTTCTTGGTTGCAGTCCCAAATTAGCTAACAATTAACTGGTTTTCTTCATGGATCACTTACTGTGCAACCTTGCAGAAGAATATTTTTGTTTGGCAGTTGGTTAATATTTGCTTGCTATCTTGATGTCTTATACTACCTCTTCAAATACTTAAATTGATATTAAATTTTACCCTGAAAAACAAGTCAAACATTTAACCAAACATCTAAATACAAATTCCAAATTCCACTTTAGTTTTTGGGTTTGAGAGGAAAAAGAAGTGAACTTTTAGCAAATGGCATGCTTTTTCTTCCCTTCACCTTTGCTCTTCTTAATTTGCAATGTTTAATTTATCCCTTTCTGTTCTTTCATGTGCTTTCTTCCTCTTTTCTTATGCTCTAAATGTTTATTCTGTTCTTTGCTTTGTATCTTTCAGTCTTTGCATTGCTGTTTTGCCTTTTCCTCACACCATTGAAAGGAAGGGTTTTTTCTAGATAAGACCAAGCTATTTTAGGTCTCACTTCTGTTTTGAGGAGTATGAAATTTTTTTAAATAATGAAAGTGATTTTAAAATCATAATGGATGGAAAATCATAAAATGTTTAGGTGTGGGATTGTTTTAGTTTTCCTTAAGCTTTTATTTCATTACGTTTTCAAGTTTATTTTTAGAAATTATGTTATTGGCTAAGTGAGTTTTTAAAAGCCTCTGTAAAGCTGAATTGAATGATTTCAAGTGTTTTTCAGGTAATAAATGAGTTTACGTATTCATATTGTTTTGGAAGATTGTGTGGCTTTGCAAAAAATGAAATAAACATGGTAATCTGAACTGGGATTATACATGGTATTGTCTAGATAATAATATTATTAGTAAACTACAAATAAAACTTGATTTATGTATTGTTGTCATGTAACTTATATATGCTGAAGGAAGCTAAGAATGATGAAAATGTCTTAATGTTAAATTTCACCTGCTTTAGTCGGATTCTCAAGACTGAGTAGGTATCTTAGTTCCTTTGTGTAGCTTAAGTATCAAAGCTCACTATTTTAAAAAATTTGAAGCATTTTATAGAGAAAACTTCTTTGAATTGCAGATGAAATCTTCTCAAACTAGTAGAATTTTTTTGTGTGTTCCTTGGCTGTATTAAAATTTAGCTTTTCTTAAGAAATGTAAAAATGTTTTGCTGAGTATGAAACATGCAACTCCAAAGGTTAATACCACAAAGTAAACTGACTTGAAATACAAGTCCTTTTACTGAAAAATGCCTTGAAGTTGCCCTGAGAATTTCCAACAATACTTCAGTTTTTATTAACTGAAATAATGTTTATCTCTTTGTATAGCTAAACCCTTAAAATCCACGTACATAATTGTGTGTAAATCTCTTACCAGAATTCAAAATGAAAGTAACAGTTTCCATTGTAATTTACTGGAACTACATTGTCTCTTCTATGTAATTATGTTAATATATTACGTTTTCAGTACAATTCCATTCCAGTCATTTGAATAGAGTTGTAATCTGAAAAGTGGTCCTTGAAAGAGAATACTCTTTGAGTTCAAGTCTGTTTCAGTGGCTTCAGATCTGCATAATTCTACAAGTCCAATTGAACCCTTAGGTTTTCTTTCTGAACTCTTTATCCAAATGGTAGTGAATTAACTATGGTTATAATTGAAGTCAAAATCATAATATATAAGGAAATCAGAGTAATCTAACTGTCATCTTGCAATCTATATTGATTCTTCAGTCCATTGTTGTTCACTTAGCTGAAAATGTGTATGTACTTTTAGACTTGCATAGGAACAATAGGTTTAGTCTTTGTAAGATTGACAGAAGCAGTGTTAGGTAATGAGATATTTTTGTATTGATATTTTATATAAATAATATAGACTATGTATTATTATTTATATTGTGCACTACTTAATCATTGCATTCTGGAGGTCCTATGACT